GTGCATGCTCAAAATGTTACTCTATGTTAAAATAGAAAGATGCCTTTGTCCAGTTTACGTGACTTATAACTGTCGTCTCTTACTAAAATTGTCCTTTGTTGCTGTGTTAGTGCAAATATTCTCACCAACTGTTTATTGGTTCATTGATTTGTCCCCATCTAATCTACATCAGCTCTTTATTGTTTTTTGTCTCTTTTTGGTTTTCATTTCATGTCACAATAGGGATGCTGCAAAATAATGTGAACGTGGGTTTTCTCCACAGGTTCCTGCTTCCCCATCACCTAAAGACCAGGAGATTTTAACATACATCACTCTGATTGGCTGCAGTCTGTCTCTTTTTACCCTGGTCATCACTGTTTTGCTCTTCATCACAAATAGGTAATCATTTTTCTCCTTGATGACATTCTTGGCAGCACAGTGGCGCGGTGATTAGCACTGTTGCCTCACAGCAAGAAGGTCCTGAGTCCAATTAAACCACCTGAAAGGGGCCTTTCCGGATGGAGTTTGCAAGTTCTCCGCGTGTTTGCATGGGTTCTCTCCGGGTACTCCAGCTTCCTCCCACAGTTCAAAGACATTCAGATAGTGGCGTTGTGTTAATTGATCATTCTACAACGCCCATAGGTGTGAATGTGAGTGCGAATAGCTGCCTGTCTCTATGTGTTAGCTCTGCGAGACTGCTGACCTGTCCAGGGTGTACTCTCCCTCTCACCCTATCGTAGCTGGGATAGGCCCAATTCCCCCTGCAACGGTGACAATTTTATTTCAAACAGAATTTGACCAAATAATCTACATGAAAGTTGTCACTTACCATGAATCACATCTGTATTTGCCAGAAAGGTCAGAGAAGATGTTTCTATGAAGGTCCACATCAACCTCGTGATTGCCCTGATCCTCCTCAACCTGCACTTCCTGCTAAGTTCCAGGGTGGCAGCAGTGTCCTCCACTGGGGTCTGTTTATACATGGCTCTTGCCCTTCACTACTCTCTATTGGCCACTTTCTTCTGGATGGCCTTGGAGGGATTCCACCTCTACCTTCTCTTAGTCAAAGTCTTCAACATCTACATCAAGAGATATCTGCTCAAAATCAGCGTGGTGGGATGGGGTGAGTGGAATAATTTAAGCATGAAGCTGTTATTATCATAATTTGAATAAGTGTTCAGTTCTTGTGTTTCAGGTGTTCCAGTAGTCATTGTGTCAGTGGTGGTGATCATAAACAGAGGCTTTTATGGTCTTGTCTCTCTGGACACATCTAACCCCAACAAAAGGGCAATGTAATTCATATTTACTCATAAATGTTGGTATATGCAATCATACTTTCTCTAAATGTACATGGTCACACTGAAAATTATCATAAACATAATGGGCACCAAACTCAATTTCACCAAGCATCTAATTAGACAAAGCTGAGATACTGAGTAGTTTCTGGTATATTTAACCACATGTATCTAGAAATCTGCAATCACATCTCTATGGAGTACAGAATGTACTTTTAAATTTCACAGTCTGAGAGACTGAAACATGTATTATGTGCATTCCCTTTCTTTTAGATGCTATATAACCAATAACACTGTAAATATGGGGACTACAGTGGGACTATTCAGCTTGGTGTTCCTCTTTAACATGTTCATGTTTGGAGCAACAATCAGATGTGTTTGGGTTCTACGCAAAAGCACAGAGGTACGGGCAGTTTTGTATTGCTATTAAAATTGAAGTTTTCTCTGTCAATATGTCCTGTGAAAGCTCAAATAACTAGTATAACTAAATAATTAAATTAGTCTCATCAGCTGGGAGTTTTACATAACAAGAACACTATGGAATACCTCTAGTCATCATTATTGTTCATTTTTGTTTAACATTAATTGTTCCTATTAAAGGATAAACTATATGATGGGTTATCAAAAATTAAAGGAACACTTTTTAATTAGGAGATTTAACTTGATGAAGTGAACTTCAGATCAATATCCCAGGTCAGTTAAGTAGCAGAGGGAGTGTTACTCAGTTTCAGCTGCTTTGATATTAATGAAATTAACAGGAACCCTGACTGCCATTAGGTATTAGGATAAAATCCTTGTCAGACCCTAAACTGGATAAGTGGGTCCTGGGCTTCTCTGGGTACATGACAATGCGGTGAAAGTATGCAGGCTGTTCCTGAGGATGAAGGAACTGATAACATTCACTGCCCTCCACACACATCTGACCTAAATCCACTGAATATCTACTGAATACCATTTTAAGTTGCGGCAATGAAAGTTCAGCAAAATGAACCAGCCTGTGGCATCATTTTTTCCCTTTAAGTTTTGGGCTCTCTGTGAATTCAGACCAGTGTAGGTTGATAGTATTATTTTTATCCCAACAACATGGCATCCTTTCTCCTAACACATTAACCAGTCCACATCAGCATTGATTTTTTTTCCAAATTTTTGCGGTATATTGTTCCTCTAATTATTTTGAGCAACGCATTATATTTTGTGGTAAAAAAAAACAAAAAAAAAACAACAACAATAAAAAAAACAACAACACATACCCATTATTAAAAATGGACTCTTCAAACTCATTTATCTGTTTTAGATTTTATATTATCTCCTTTGTCATTTCATTTTGGCCAATCAGTTTGGGCAGAGTAACCGTGACAAAGCAAAGAAAGATATTTGTACCCTGCTGGGAGTCATGACTCTGCTCGGCATTACCTGGGGCCTGGTCTTCTTCTCTTTTGGCCATCTGACCATTGTTGGCCTCTACCTCTTCTGCATCCTGAACTCACTTCAAGGTCTGTATAATCTTTTTTTGTTTGTTAAGCTCAGTTCTGTGCTGATATTAGTCCAAAAGCACTGATTCGCAAATTTGCTGCCTCTTGGAACATGAAAGTAATTCAGATGGGCAGGTCATTCACAATTTATTAACACACACACACACTCACTCACTCTCTCTCTCTCTCTCTCTCTCTCACACACACACACACACACACACACACACACACACACACACACACACACACACACACACAC